GGAATTCTGGGAGTTGAAGTCCACATAACTTCAAGCTGCCAAGGTTGAGTAACCCCAAGCTAGAGAAACGGGATTGAAATGTTCCCTTTGGAGACGGGGTTTTAATGAGGACGCTTTCTTGATTTTGCAGACGTTTTTAGCCCGCAAGTAATCAGGAGGCAGATCCTGGAAGGAAAAGTGAAAGGTCCTTTTCAAGGGGAGGTAAACAGGAAAAAGAAAAAGTATTTTGTTATGTTTTCACACAAGGAGGAAAACGAAGCGTTGTTGAGAAGTCTCCCTGATGCTGATCACCCAAGAATTCATTTCTGGGTTCAATGAAATAGATGCACACTTAAGGAACTTAAGTATTGTATATCTGAACCAAGTCTCCTGGTTTGCTATGTCCTCATAAACCCGGATTGCAAACCGATCTTTGGGATACCAATCCTGGCTTGTTTTAAAGAAGCAAACCAGAGTGGCATTGAAAAAGCATTGCTGGTCACAGGGAGGATCGAACAGGCTGAGCTTGATCTCAGATAAGCTTTCTCCTGGAATCCTGGTTTGTTGGGTGCAAATCCCATCAGGGCCCCCTTTAGAGTTGCGGTGCTTGTTCCCAAGATGGATACTTTTGCAAATAATGGGAGCGGGGCAGCGGGTCCAAAATAACCCAGCATTGGTGCAATTTCACTGCCGGCCTCTTTGGGGTTTATCTGAATCCTCGAGAGTTTGGGGAGAATTGATGAGTACAAACCCACTACTTCTCGCGCTCGCAAATGCACACATTTGCCAATTGTGGACTGGGTTGTGCACGGGTCTGCCTTTTGCACAAGTTACGTCCGAGTCCTGTGCCAAAAAGTCTGGGATGCTTTTCCAGCCGACTGGCAGGGAAAACCCTCAAAATACCCTCTGCAGATAATCCCGTAGCGCAATCCAATTCTCCTTGGCCGGATCTTTCCCATCTCAAGAAGTTTAAAATAAATCAGAGCAGCAAACACACAGCCGTCTTTTACAATCCACAGTTGGCTGAATTTTCTTACCGAGTGAAAGCCAAGCTCTAAAATAGGAGCGGGTTTGCACGATACACCCAGCCAGATGCAAGCAAGCCGCGCCACGGTGCCGTCCGGTTCTCCGCCACGAAAGATGGGAGTGGCATGAAGGGGGTGCGATACTTACGCGCAGAGGTCTCTTTATTTAACAGGGTTTTTTTTCTCGCTTTGCAGCTCCACATTTTAACGTTTGCTCTCAAAGCAAACTCCAAAGTTGTTCAGTGAGGCATCCCCACAGAAAGCTTGAAGCCGATCGATGTTCTTCCACGAAGACTTGCGGGTCATTCCCGGAAACTCGAATTCGTTTTTTTTTTTTTTAACCGAGGCCTGTTGAGGATGTTGAAAAGCTGGTTTAAAGATGTTTTGTGTCGTTCGCTTGGTCACTTCGTTGAGGCCCTCTAACCTTCTGTGCTGCTGAAGAGGCAAAGCATAAATCTTATTTTTCCTACCGCGTTATGTGTCTCAGACGGCTGGATTTGTGTGCGTGGTATGTGGCCCGGAGGAAAAACGCATAAATCTGTGTCCCGGCTGAGCTTTTCTGTTGCAACGTTGTCCTCCGTGTTTGCGATGGCAGTTAATTTATTAAAATGCAGCATGTGTCCAGAAGTTGGCGTGTTCCCCCTACTTCCATTTTAAAACTCTGCTTTCCAGCTACTTCTGCAGAGGCGATCGGATTAATTGAGAAGCTGCTGCGGTTTTAAAATTCTGCTTTTCCCTGTGGGCAACCGGGGCGTCATTTTAAGGAGAGGCTCAGCTCTCCCTAAGAAAGATGGAGAATTTGGGGTATGTTGAGAGCGCGTCTCTACTCTGGTCTGATGCTGGATGGCTAGAAATTTATGTCTAATTCTGATAAAAGGTGTATGGGGGTCCTGGCTCCTAAGATGATCTTGGCAGATCTGTGTGCGTGAACCTTGTTTGAAAAGCCTGAACAGATTAGGCTACCTCTAATCTAGAACAGGCTTGAAAACGATGCAGAACCCGACAGAAGAACCACTAAGCCCATTTTCTGGGAGGCGCTGCCTATGGAAATGGCTAGATTGGGGGGGAAAAGCTTCTAGCCCTCAAGAAAGATCAGCCTTGAGCCAAGGGGAGTAGCTGAAGGACCGGTCACCTGCGTTTCTGCAGGCTGGGAGGAAAGAAAACAGCTTGGCACGCTGCGTGACGATTCTTCACTTGCTCGACGGCCTTTCCTAAGCTAAACGCGCCGTTCCCTGCGTCTGTCCTTGGGAAACAGAGTTTCCGGCACCCCCAAGATGATCCTTGTATCATCTCTTTTCTGGACTTTTTTTTCCCAGATTCCCAGGACTCGAGGTGGAAGACAGGTATCTAAACCACCCGGGGTAATTTTGACCTGGTTCTGCTTCCCAATTTTTCTCTGCATCATCTCACAGAGATGTAACTCAGTTCTATTGGGAGGCTGTAAATACTTTATCCCAGGGGGGAAAAAACGGTGCTAATGAACCACAGATCCCCCACTGAAGGAATGGGGATGAGGGGGCCCAGAGGGAAGAAATTCTTGCTTGAGATTTTGGGGGGGGAATGCAGAATGGGGAGTCTACGTCAGCCGCCGCCACCGCTCTCGCCCCCTTTGCAACTCCGCGGACAGAGGCAGGACCAGTCCCCCTTCAAATTAACAAATGTAATTGTTCTCCAAAGATACATTTTTCCCCATAGACATCCATCATACACGGTAACCAAAACAAA